GTCGGATGGCCCGGATCTAACGACTTTATCATATAGTTGCAATAGGAACGATCGTTGATTGTAGGGAAAAACGCCAGGTCTGAATGTTAATAATCATAAATACAATTTATATAAATATATATAATTTATTTTGTATTAACTATTAATGATCTATACATTTTTATATCTCTTTCTATTTATTTCTCTTTCCCTGTCTCTCCTTTACTTTATCTAGCTTTTCTCTGTCTCTTTCTGTATCGCTCTGTCTCTCTTTCACACTCTCTCTCTCTTTACCTCATTGTCAGTATGTTTATGTTCTATGTAAATCTCTAGAGATATCTCTTTGTCCCCCTCTCTCTGTGAATCTGTAGAGTTTTCTCTAACTTTCTCTCTCTCACTTTCATTCTCTCACTTTCTCTTTCTCACTTCCTTTGTTCTCTTTACTCGGAGACTATAAATACAGGCACTGCCGTCATAGAGACCTCATTTTGTTCTCAGCCTCACCAATGTTTACATCTATAGTGATAGTGATTGCCATTGCCCATCGAACCCAAAAATTTCACCATTTCGATGATACCATGAGATGCAGAATTGAAATTACTAAGAATATAACTTTACATTTATATAAGCAATTAAGCAGTGACGAATGAGGATAACCGTGTCATCATCATTTAAATTTAAATTTAAAATATTTTTAAATATTAAAGCCCCATATTCTACTATCCTAATAAAAGCCAATACAGAAAAGCTTTTCAAATTGATATTAATACATATTAGTCTTAGTTGTGATCATTTGCGCATTCGAAACTATTATCCTATGGGTAACTGCAAGGGTATACACACTTCGGCTTTTCGAAGTTACCTTCCTTTCTTGTTTAATTTGTAATCAAAAAAGGTCCCTGGAATTCATTCAAATTTACTAATTTATAGGTGTCTTTAGTCTTTGAATGCAATCTAGATGAACACCACTGATCCCATCAAGTGCATAATCGGTGGCCACGCGTTGCACCGTCACGTTCCACATATTGCACCACACACCAAGTGAACTGCAACTCCTGGGCCTCTGCCTGTTCCTCTTCCTGATGTTTGTTTGCTGGTCAAACCCATCACTGTGTGAAGCCTCCTTCTCCCACATCCTGCCTCCATTTTAATTGTTGGCCAACAACAATGATCCCCAAGCCTTAATTGGTGTTTCCCTGTCGCTGAAGCGATGACACTTGATGGGCTATGTCAGCAGAGTGTGTGTGTGTGTGAGTGAGTGCCACATGCCACTCGTCACCGAAGGGCCACCACTTTGTCCTCCTCTGGCAATTACGTGGCTGAGCTCCCACGTTCCAAGCCATTGGCTGGGGTCCAGCACTTTCCCGAGACTCCTAAACCCTCCTGATGACTGGCAATGAATCCTAATTAATTTTGGGATGATGTATGAGAGTGCCCAGAATAGTCCTTGGCCAAGATGAAAAATCAAGACCCAAAATTGTATTGAAGTCTAGCAAAAATCAAGCTAAAAATGCTTCCTGAATCTTGTAACTTAATTTAGATACAATGTATAATTTACTGATTATTTATTTGCATTGAAATTTAAATTAACACATTGATTTCATTATAGATCCATATCGCAGGACTAATTACAAGTACATTCCCCAATCTACGTGTCACCCTTATCATTATTGATAATCCCCTGTTATGATGAATTATGATGCACACGGATTTGTCAAAAACTTTTTGGGCTGAAATGGGGGAATCCCAATCATCCAGTTGATGACATTTAATTATATGCTCTGCTGTGCTGGATTATACCCAACCCCTTCAGGTAAAAACACCCCCTGAAATAACCCCATAACTGCCCCATGTCCCCGTACTTTTCCGCATTTGTTGCGTGCTCACGTAACTCAAATGCCAAACAGCTGCAGTTAACACGTTCGCAGTGCTTACAGAGTGCAGCAAACAGATCCGTTGCCGTAATCCAGGTACTCCTGCTCCTGCTCCTGCTCCAGATCCGTATCCGTATCCGTATCGGCATCCGTATCCCGTATTCGTGCGGACAAAGCAGCGTTAAAACTGCACTTAAGTCAAACTTGCCAGACAAGTGCCGAAGCGGAGGCGAGTGGCTGTGGATTGTCGAAGGAGTTTGAGGTTTTGGCCCGGCCCAAAAGGGGGGTTGAGTTAAAGTAGAACTAGGTAAGAGAGCTGCAAAATGGTCAACACTCGAAAAAAATGCCAAAAAAAATATTATAATTGAATTTCTAATAGTATTACGGAGTTTCAGTTAGAGATTTTTAGAGAGTCCAACTATGTGTATCATCAAATATATTACTTTCTTTAAAATATTAAAAATATTATTATTATAAATATTAAATATTTATATGAACTGATATAAAACAAACATTTCAATACCTTAAAATATATGATTTCTTTTCAATATATCGATATGGTCGAAATATATCGAATAAATGTTATTCAAGTCAATTGTCTCTTTTTCCGATTAAATTTGTATTAAACAATATATCGATGAATCTCACATTCATGTAACGCACTAATAAAGTATTGATTTAATTATCGACTTAACAATTTAATATTGACACAATACTGATATAGCATATTGATTTCATCGACTTTAGCATTTAATATTGATACAATATTGATAAATCTATATTTTTTTGCAAGCTCCAATCAGATTCTTATCAAAAACTAGCTTTCATTTAGTAAATTCTTTTTTAATTTAGGAGGATATCTTTACTTTTTAAATCTTTAATCATACAATTTACACATTTTATAATTTTATTTTGAAATAACAATATATGTTTTTTCTAAGAACTTAACTTTAAACTAACAGTTTTTTTTATCAATTTTATTCCCACTAAATCCATTTCTTTAGTGCTTTCTGGGTTGTAAACTTATTTATGCCAATGCTAATCTGGACTATAAAGTTATAGTTTATTTTTTAATTGTTAGTTCAAGTTTTTTATTATTGTGTAAAAGCCAGCCGCTGACGTGGCCGTTTTACGAGCGCCCTTCGGTTGTAAAATTTCATTACGAACTAAACGAACGCCTTTCACATGGCCACAGAAGCACCGGTCATTGGACCAAAGCCACCATCAAAACTCCATCAGTCCTAGTCCCAGTCCCCAGTCCCCAGTCTCAGTTCGTAGTTCTTCATCGGAATTATCCCTGTAGTCATCTCCCGACTGGACTTTCTTTCTTATGCTAATTCTTGGCGCTGGGACACTTAGTTGATTGGTTTCTGTCAGAATCGTCGCACAACGTTGACTGATTGGATTTCGGCCATTTGCCGCCGTCTCCTACTCCTTCGTCTTAGATCCTCAGTGATTATGATTAGCGTTGGTCTTCTCCTCAATTTTCCCACAACAGCTTTAATTTTTTACCCAGTTGTGTTGTGACATAAGCCATAATTTATAATGGAAAATCTGGGGTACATAAATCTCGGTTCGGATGCTGTTCGGATGTTTCAAGGGCGTGTACTCCGGCCCCAGCGACCTTGACCCAGACCCATTCACATGGGTTTACATAATCCAACCATGGGGTGGGTTTGGGGTGGTGTAACATTACCTTAACATACAGCTGGCGCTTACAGCGCTTAAGCTTCTTCAACGCTTTCAAAGCTGAGCGGGTAGGGTGATTCGAAAAAGCTTTCTAAAAAGAATAATATAAAAAGAAAGTTAATTATAACTTGAGAAAGAGAAATATTGCAAATTGAACAGTTTTTTTTTTGTTTCCGACCTACAAATACATTTAGAAGCACCTTATTATGGCACGAAATGTTGACCATGAATTTAAAAAAATTAAAATAGAAAAGAAAGCTAATTTCGGGAATGCGGAATATCAATCCCCTTACATTCTATAACTAAGCCTAAAACGCAATATTTTTCAATAGAAATACTTTTCTCCCTAGTTTTTATTAGGTTGACAAATCTGCCTATTAACGAAAAATTTAAACAATTGAAATTTTTCTTCCGATTTCTAAAATTATAATAATGTAGCCCCTGTTCAAAAAATTTGTATATTTTTTATCATGAACATGGCCAGCTCCACTCATCAGTTGATTCTAATCAAGAACATATGGTTTATAGGATCTGACTCCTACACAGTGTTCCATGGTTTTGACCAAAATTATATTACCCTGTCAGTGTAAAACACTTATCAACAATATAAAAATTAAATGGTAAAACACTAAATATATTTTATTTTATATTTTAACTCCCTTCCTGTTTCTGGAGCCTAATAAACCAAAAAGCCAATCCTTATCTTTAAAAAATTGTGCCAAAGGTGGGGGGGGGTACAATAAAACCCAAAAAATAAAGAAAAAAAAAACTTTAATCTTTAGTGCATAGAGTACAAAAAACATTAAACTTTTAGGAAAATGCATTCAAGATACAATGAATAATAATTACGGTAATAATTGCATAATATAAAATTACTTTGCAAATGGTTTCAGCTCTATTGATCAAAAAGTTCAAACCTTTAAAGTAACTACAAGCCCCTACTGCCAAATTCAAATCACCCGCCAAATATAACAGATATAACAGAGCCATAACAGCCGCTGTTGCACTCTCGCCCTTTCTCGCTTGCTCGCTCTCCGTCTCTCTATCTCGCCCACAAGCTTTTTTTGGATACGGTTGGAAACGGAACACGCGGCAGCTGAATTTTTGTTGTATATTTATTTCGTGCGGTCGAGACGCTTCGATTTTTACGTGAAATTACCTAAATCTGGCCAAATATCAACTGGGGATATAGCGTATTATCCGGATTGCGAATATATTCCAGTGAATCAGTGAAATTTCGCCAAATACAAGCAAATACAACACCGAAAAACGTTTCGTCACGACGACAGAAAGCAAGAGAGCAGTGGAATTTTTTCGCAACAAATACAATTAAAAGTTGCAGAGGGAGAGCGAACCAACGAGCGAGGAAGAGGCGAAAAATAAATCAGAAAATCAATTAGTGAATAATACTATTTGAAATCGGGTGCAAGATAAGTTTCCTGGCGAGACTACGTTTTCGGCGATTTGGTTTTCATCGATTTTGCAGAAGGAAAACAGGTTGGTAGCCTTCCATTTCTCTAGTGTGCCTTGTTCCTACCCCCACCCCTGTGTTTGTTTGATTTTGGTTTTGTAACTGGTTCTAGCAAACAACGCTGCTTATTCTGTTCTTCTTGTGTAGTTTTTTTTAGCTGTGTTTAAGTTGGCTTTAGGTTTTCTGCCTTTTAGCATTTCATTCGTTGCGGAAATATGTATGAAAATACCGGCTTGTTGTCATCTGTGCAAAGAGAGCGACAGCCAGAGAGAGATATTGAGCGGTGGAGAGAGCATGACTCAGTGACTGCGCTTGTGGTTGTGTGAGGTTATGCGTGTCACAGACAGTCGCGGCCAAAACTATAGGACATATAAATTGGGGCATTCGAGAATTTTAATTTTACAAATATCAAGCTCTCAGTTAAGGTTTAAAAATACAAACTAACTATTTGGTAAATATGAAAATCGGAATAAAAACTAGGTTTAGGTACTTAATAACTTTAGTATCTTCCCATAACAAATTCGTTGTAATAATTAATTTAATATATTTTATTACTGTTGACACTGTTCTCTCATACTTGTCTGTTGTATCAAAGAGGGCTTTTTTTCTAACCCCGTCTGTTCATACGCCTGGAATTGGAACACGCGCGTGTACTATAGCTTGCCACACTCGTGTCCGCAAATATTGTGCCGCCATGCTCCAGTTGATTGAATTGCTTGCATTTCGCTTAATTGATACGAACTTCAAATTGACGGGCGCTCGCTCAATTAGTGGCGTTTATTTTTTTTGTTCTGCTTTCCCATTTCACTCGAAAATTTTCTCAGTTGTGGGTGCAGCAGCTGTTCTTTCAAATTCCCGCGCAATTTGCATTTTCAATTGCATTCGGTGAAAGAAGAAGACGGCCCCGGAGAGAGGGCGATAGATTATGCAATATGCATTCATTTAGCGTGTTATCATCATGTTTATTGCAACTAGTTTCTGTCGGTGCACATCACTGGGGTTAATTTTCACACACTAATTCCTGAAGGTTAGCCCACCATAAGGGGCGAAATTGCATTTCGGAACTTTGCGGAAATATTATGGGTTTTTTAAAAGCTTAAAATACCATTAAAACTAAGAAATGAACACATTTAACGTTATTAAAAAAATGAGTTTATTATTAATATCGGCATAAAGAATTAATTCCTTACTAGTTTTACTTTGTAATTAAAATTTCTGAAAATCCAGCGACTAAATTTCTATAAGCTTTCTTTTATCGAAAAGTTGAAAGAATAGTACCGATATTTTAATTTGGATATGAACATAATACTCGAGCTGTAATATGTACTTACATGTGTACCAAGATTAAGTATAATTTATAAATAATGTGATGTCGGCGAACATCACAAAGGTTTGATTTTTTTACCATATAATATCTCAAGGATAACCACTATTTTTGTTAAGAGTTAAAAGTGAACTTTAACTCTGCATGGTTAATTTTTTAATTAAAAAGCAAATAGAATGTCAGCTTCCTCAAAATTTGTTGATAATTTAAATGTTTATTTACAACTTAATATACGTCGCAGATCATTTTATATAACAAAATACATTGTATACTAGTAAATCTGATATTTATTTTTTGTTATTATATACTTCGTGCTTTGTAATTTATGTAAATATCGTACAGTCTTTGCGTCAATACGTTAATTGTCAGATAATGATTGCACAAGTAAATGAAAATTATGAAAACAGAAATATATATTTTATTGTGAAAACGCTAATCGGTATTTAAAAGCAAATAGACAAATCTGTGAGCACTTTATTGTCTGTAACTTTAAAATTGTAGGCTTCTTGTCATATTTAACACCTAATTACTTTTGTTTTTAAGAAACTTTAGTTGGAAACATCAAATTATTTTTATTTAAAAGATCCCTTAACTAATAAAGTACCTATTTGAAATTTATTTCCACATTTCCAAGGCTTGGATCTTTCTCAAAATAAACTTTCTAATCATCCATCGTTAAAATGTAGTACTTATTACCAAAAATAAAGTCTGTAGATTCGTGTTATCAAAATCGATTTAATATTTGGATCATGGACAAAAATATCTTTTTGGCTAATTGGGAAAGAATTTCACAGGTTGGTCGCACGCCAGAGTCGCGTGGCTGCAAATAAAGAAAAAATACAAAATAAATAATACAGCATCTAAAAGGGATTTGGAAACCGATGCTAATTTGATTGATCAACGGGTTTTAAGAGGCAAAGAAACATAATGCCATAATCGTGCCATTTACACCTGTGCTGTTCGGCCAAGTGGCAATTGCCGATTGCCAATTTGCGTTTCTAATTAGCTGCATCCCGTGTCGTCGTCTTCGTTGGCAATTTATGCTCAGAATGCGACGCCTTGCCCATCATCATCGATGATTGCTTAGATAAGTCGTCGATTGCCCATCGACCATGTGACACAGCATCAACCACGTGTGCAATTGTCGCCCTTTCTAATTGCCCATTTACACGACTCACACACTTGGAGCCTGTGTCTCCACTAAGAAAATTACCTTTAAATCTCTTAGAGTACAAATTAGCAAAATTTAATGTGAACAGGGGATCCTAAATGTGTTGAGAAATTGTGCTAGTTTATGTACAAGTAGCATATATTTGCCGTTTTAAGTACAGTTTTATCTATAATTACTTTGTTCATCGCTAAGATGCATGTAAACACCAATAATTTTTTTAAAAGTGTTAAACTTGGAGGAAATTTCGTTAGAAAAATCGATTTAATAGAATAAAAATCAAATAATCTTAATTACATAAATCAAGGACTGGTATCTTTTGCTAGAAAACCTGACCCAGAAGACTTTCAATTATTTCGGAGACACCAAAATGACCCATCAGTACTATTTGCTGAATTCGTATTTGAGAATTTTAAGTGTACTCTTTGCAAAATATTTTTCAGTTAAAGGGGTATTTTTTCGCTTTATTCGTGTAGATTTATAACGAGTATTGAGTATTTTATTTTTTTAAGTGTCAAGCATTCCAGTCCCAGTCCCTTTGAGGTCAGACTTAGTTGCTACTAAATATAGTTACACTTTAAGCCTGATTAGTTGATAGGGTCGAGTGTTTTCAAGTGTATTGAAGAAATTACGGCGATAAGATTATTCCCAATGCAGGCATTAAGTGTTCACAGTGAAGGATCAATAGAAAGAACAAATAATTTTGGTTCAAAGTTAAATAAAAGTAAAAAAATTTTGTTAACAAATTTTAAATTAAATTGCTTTAAAAGTGTTTGATTTTTTAAAATTATTTTAAGTATAGTGGCTTTTGAGTACTAAAGGAGTTTAATAAAATAGAAGAGCCCCTGTAATTTTTAATAAATTTCTCTTGAAAATTATATAAAGATATTGCGTTTTTATACATCTTGACCTACATTTTTAATAGTCTAAATTAATCTGTAAATTATATAAAATGTTCTACCATAGATCGATTTTTTAATTCATTGTTTTTGCTCAATTAAAGTTATTTCCAATTCAATTAACATTCCCAAAGACTCTGAATTGCTGCAAAATTCAAAACTATCCAAACTTAAACACTTTAATAATTTTCTTAAATTTTTGCATTTACCACATTTCATATTTTAAACACTTGTTTTGTGCCGGGAAAGAGAGATTGAGGTGCAAACGCCTGCCATAAATTTAAGCCAATTTGTTTGTCTTTCATGCCATTTTGATGTCCACAAAGATTTCATATTTTAATACTCTCTCACAATTTTCTAGTTTATTTTCGTTAGAGGCAGACGGAAAATATTTTTAATGGGTTTTACAGCACGTGCCGTTTGTTATTGTCGATTTGTGTCTGTATTCTATTGTTATTATTATTATGTGGAAAAAGTTTTCAAAAACACAACAAAAGCCTTTATGTGCATATAATTATTGAGATGTTTTCCCCATTCTTAGTTCATAAATATTTTGTGATTGATCTTAGGTTAATGGATTTATTTATTTATGCACTTTTAACGAACAATAAAACGAAAATATTTACACAAAGAATTTTAAAAACGAAGGAATTATTACTATGAACAACTCTTACCTGTAAATACTTAAATGTTTAACAAAATGTACCTAATTTTAAATATATTTATTTTTAATCAGAATTTTATTCAAAAGTCTGCCAAAAATTATTTCAAAAACCTGAAAAATATTTTAAATACATACCACAGACGTCAATAAATTACATTTTAGCCCAATTTGCTGGATTTATTATAATTCAGAAGCCAAAGCAAATGAAAGGAAAAGCTAAAAATTAATTACTATTTATTTTGGCATTGAATAAATTTTGAAAATTTTCTTGGCTGCATCTTGATAAAAATGTCCCTATTTATTTTGTCATTTCCCATTTGCTTAATTTGTGGCAACAGGTGCTTAACCTGCATCCCCACCGCCCCCTTTTACCAAATTAAAAGAGGCCCCTTTCGGTATCGGTACATTATTATGGCCACGTTTGGCATAGAAATTGGTGGCCATCGGCTGCTCATAATTTATATGCATGCGGGATAAGTTTTATATTTATTGGCATGAAGATAAGTTTTGTGGCCACACATTCGAGACTCATTTATTTTTGGCTGCTTCCATCCACCACCGGCAACGAAAAGTGCCAGGGAATATGTATAATAAATTATTCGCACATTTACAAATCAAAATTTATGTGCTCTAATTATTTATTATTTATACTCTACCACCTTTTCATCTCTTTAATATAATTTTTCGTTCATTTTTGCCAAACTTTTACATGTTGGTAGAGATTCCATTAAATTTTCATAATTGCTTGCGATTATTAAATGTAGATAAAATTATATATTTTTATACATATATGCCATGGTTATCACTTATTATTTATTACACCATTTTTGTATTCTCTTTAAATAATAAATAATTTATATTGATGCTATCATAATAAAGTGATTTTATTAATCGATTTATATATTTTTATATTTTTACAGACTTTAAAAGGCGAACTGGTAAGTAAGCAATATAAAGTGAACTTTAATATCAGTTATAGCGGTAGAATTTGTTTAAAAATTGCAAGCATAACTGGCTTTTTAGTTAGGAATACATAATAGATAAATAGATAGAAAGATAGGTAGATATAGATAGATTAGAATAGAATATTTTGTTCGGAGAAGAGATTCCTTAAAACAGTTACACATTAGTCGGGGCATTTATATATCAGACATCTTAATATATATATATTTTTTTTTAATTTAGAGGCTTATAGAATAAAATTGTAATGATACACTTTATAGTTTTAACGAGTATGACACCGTATTTTTAAATTAATTTTTTTTTGAGCTTACATTATACGGTTATGACACTGTATTGAAAATTAAATTTAAATCAAAAAATTTAATAAAAGTATGCACACAAGCACGTTAAAAAAGCAAGTTTAGGTGTTTCCAAAAAACTTCAGAATATATCTGGTTTTTTTTTAATATTTCAAAAAATGTGACCGTAGTGTCATTACAAAACTGTATATTTTTATACCCTTGCAGGGTATTATAATTTCAGTCAGAAGTTTGCAACGTAGTGAAGGAGGCACCTCCGACCATATAAAGTATATATATTCTTGATCAGGATCAACAGCCGAGTCGATCTAGCCATGTCCGTCTGTCCTTCTGTCCGTCTGTCCGTTTCTACGCAAACTAGTCTCTCAGTTTTGAAGCTATCTGAATGAAACTTTGTAGTTAGCCTTCTATATACTCTCATTCGTATATATGTCGGAACGGGCCGGATCGGACGACAATATCGTATAGATGCCATAGGAATGATCGGAAACTTTTTACAAAAAAAATTTTAACATTTTCAGTTTAAAATAGAATTGGATCAAATTTGAGATATAGCCATTTTACTATACTCTACAATTTTGTATAAAATTTTATGAAAATCGGACTACTATATCATATAGCTCCCATTGGAACGATCGAGAAATTAATACAATTAAAAATTATAACTTTTTCAGTTTTCAACAGATTTGCATCAAATTTGAGGTGTAGCCATTTTATATTAGTCTTAAATTTTGTGTCAAATTTCATGAAAATCGGACGACTATATCATATAGGTGCCATACAAACTATCGTTTGATGTAGAAGAAAAATGGAAATCTGTGAATGAAAAGCTGCAAATATAATATGTATAGGTGAATGAAATGAAAGCAGGTATTACTTCATTGTTTTTTAACACAAATATATATAATTTATATGGTATGGATTCCTAGTCATAGAATTTCTATCTGCAAGGGTATATAAACTTCGGCGTGCCGAAGTTAGCTTCCTTTCTTGTTTATTATTATGTACCCCCTTAAAAAGGAAATTAAAAAAAATTGTACTTATAACATTTGTGTAAATCACACAATCTGAGGGGCTTGATTTGTTTTTTTTTTAATTATATACATATATATGTACACTCACCAGAAAAAGTGTGCGTACAAACTTAACGCGCAACTTTGATTTTAAATAAAAATAGTTCTATGGAAGATATTGACTTCAATTTTTTTTTAAATTAACGACACATCTATTATTAAAAATTATAGCTAGTCTTTATTTATTTCCGTCCACAACTTTTTTATTTAAAATTAAAAAACAAAAAATACCCATGTTTTCGGGCAAGAAAAAGTGTGCGTACAAAATTCAATTAAGATAAAAAAAACCATTTATTGTTAAGGCATTGATAAAATTAGTACGAAGGAGGATACCCATTTCTATCTATTGTCCCATTTAAGCGTTTTGGAATTGAATAACCCAATTTTTCGGTAAATTCAGGTGGTATTTTACTCCACTCATCGAAAACCACATTCTTCAACGTATCCTTCGATGTTTTTGTTCGAAGACGAATCCTGCGCTCCAGAAAAACCCACAGATCCTCTATGGGGCTTAAGTCCTGCGACTGAGGCGATGAATGCAGTTGATTTTTGGTATAAAAAAGTAACCATAGCTTCAAAGTCAGCGAAGTATGCTTGGGGTCATTATCCTGTTGCAACCAAAAATCATCTGCCAGACCCAATCTTAATGCGCTTTGGTGCAACTTGTCCTTAAGGACTTTCATATAAGCCTTGTGGTCCATTGTCGAGTCAATAAAGACCAAGTGGCCAACTCTACTTGCTGCCATATACCCCCACACCACCACACTGCCACCACCGTGCTTAACTGTTGGAGCGAGCTTCTGCACATCAAGGACTGTGCCAGGTTTGCGCCACACAAGTTTTCGCCCTTTTATGCCAGATAGGCAAAATTGGCTCTCATCACTAAAAATAATCATTTTCCCAAAGGCTAAAGGCTCTTGGATGAATTTTTTAGCAAAATCCACGCACTCCTATTTATTGACGGGCAATATGAGAGGCTTCTTCGGCGCAGCACAGGCATGAAATTCCTCCTTATTAAAATTTTGCGGACTGTGTCATCATTTAAATCCTTCTTCTACTTCTCCTTTATATCCTGGCCAATTTTTGAGGCCGTTAACATAGGATTACGCCCACAGCCCATGATTTTTGGTTGCAACAGGATAATGACCCCAAGCATACTTCGCTTAGTTTGAAGCTATGGTTGCTGTTTTATACCAAAAATCAACTGCATTCATCGCCTTAGTCGCAGGACTTAAGCCCCATAGAGGATCTGTGGGTTTTTCTGGAGCGCAGGATTCGTCTTAGAACAATTACATCGAAGGATACGTTGAAGGATGTGGTTTTGGATGAGTGGAGTAAAATACCACCTGAATTTACCGAAAAATTGGGTAATTCAATTCCAAAACGCTTAAATGGGACAATAGATAGAAATGGGTATCCTCCTTCGTACTAATTTTATCAATGCCTTAACAATAAATGGTTTTTTTTATCTTAATTGAATTTTGTACGCACACTTTTTCTTGCCCGAAAACATGGGTATTTTTTGTTTTTTAATTTTAAATAAAAAAGTTGTGGACGGAAATAAATAAAGACTAGCTATAATTTTTAATAATAGATGTGTCGTTAATTTAAAAAAAAATTGAAGTCAATATCTTCCATAGAACTATTTTTATTTAAAATCAAAGTTGCGCGTTAAGTTTGTACGCACACTTTTTCTGGTGAGTGTATATATAAATTAATATATATGTACATATATAATGTGTAAATTTACACTAATTAGTCATCGGGGATTTTGAAATTGTAATAAAGTCATCAGAGCAGCAGGAGCACGCTTGGATGGAATCACTGCTCATGGGACGGCAGACGAAACGCATTAAACTAAATTGCATTTGGCAAAACTGAAATCTAAATGGTGATCTAAAATCGAAATTAAATTGAGATAGGTAAAGCGTCGTCAAGGGGGAGGGGGGAAAACTATCCCCTGGGTCACGTTCTGCTCGGCGCTAATCGCTCAATTTGCCTCACTTGCTAGCACGCGGAAATGTGTGGGAGGGCATGCGAAAGCGTTTCACTGGCCAAAAAAAACACACTGAGACACTGGGGGGAAAAACACCAAGTAATCATTACCTAAGATTCAAATAAATCCAATGAATACAGCCAGCTTAATCAGATTAATCTGATGACTGATTTTTATAAGCATTAAAAATACATTTTAAATTTTGAAAGATTTTTTGTTAAGTGCAAAGAAATGCCATGTAAGTACAGTGAGGCAATGCTAATTAAATTTCGCTACTCGGGGCACGGCGCCCTCAGTCTTAATTTGTTTGCATGCTCGGTCGAGCGGAAAAGCAACAACAAATTGGCATAATGATCATGTACGATCAACAGGAACATGATGAAACATGATCATCATCATGTTGAACTGACTGACAGGCCGACTTGTTTCTCTGCTTTTGTTTCTTTTTTGTTGTTTTTGTTGCTATTTTGACTTTGAACTTGCGCGTTGTTTGCCTGTAATTTACGATTTTCGAAGAATGAGAGCTTGCCCCATTATATAGTACTATATGGTATAGTATTGTCCGATTTGTGCACCATTTCCTTACCCACTCAACGTGACGTTCGGCGTTTTAAATTTAGCCACAGTGACAAGAGAAAGAATGAAACTATAACTGTGCTCCGGGGGCTTAATATGGAACGACATTTCAATTGTGATTGCTATTTTTAGTCATTGTCATCTCTCGGAAAGTCTCGACATGCCTCATTTTCATCCTCTTTTTTGCATATTCAGCGGGAAGCAGCATTAAATTTTATGTTTGTGGCAAGGTTAACCTGTATTGTATAATGACTTTATATTTATAACTTTATGAGCTTAAACACTGAAAATCTTTGTTATTTGGGTCAATCTGAATCCAAAACGTTTCAAAACATTAATATTCTGGTTAAATTCTGGGAAATGCAATCAATTAATCTTGGCTGACTCTCAACTGTGATCTCAATTAATTGATTCTGAAATCAGAAACCTTAATTTCAATTGATCTAGGTTTCGTCATAAAAATATGATTTTAATTAATGTATTTTTCAAAGGGAGAAAATGGTTTTTAAATTGCCCTTTGTTTCTCACAATGAATTCTTATGAATTCCAAAAATTAAGAAACCCTTTGTTACTCTTTAAATATTATCTGTAAATTGTTATTAATACTGAGCTAAATGGCAATTTTAATGAACTATTGCTTGTGTAAGACATTAATTAACCCAATTTAGTTTTCAATATTGAATATATTATTGTTCTTTTTATTTTACAATTGTTAAAATCTTTATTAAACACAAGCCAGTTAAATTTTAAATAATTATAAGCAGATGTGGCATTATTATTATTGTTGTCACACATTTTGCTTTAAACATTTACTTCCTGCTAGCATTTTGGACTCATTGAACTGAATTACCCTCAACTTTTGCTTTCAAGAATATTGATTTATTTCTCGTGCTGTTTTTTAATTTATTTTCCGCAAATTGCTTTTTGCGAGTGCAAAAATCCCCAACGTCCTCGCCTTGAGAGATCGACGAAAAGAGATCACATGAGATGTTGACCAGCAAATTGAACCAAAACATGTGAGCTTTGATTTT